TACGAGCAGAGCCCAAGCAAATCTGGCTGAGGGTCCCTGTTGAGCCCAAGCAGCTGCCAAAGCTCCCCAAGCAAGGATGTTCGCGCCTTCCTATGAAGTGGGACCACTTGATGGACACCATACTACGAGCAAATGATGACGACACGCTAAGGGTTGCTTGGGACGCAGTCATTACTGGAGTGGAGTTTGGGATTCTCAACAGATATGACGTCGTTGACGATGACGCGGCTCCATTCAGGGGCAGAGCGGGCCCAAGCGCCACCAAGTTTGTGGAAGCACACTGGGCCCCAACAAGGGAGGCTGGAGCCCTTGGGCCGAAAGCCTTAGCCTGGCAGGCCGCAGCCAGATGGGCGAAACATCTCATGAGAGCGCGAGCCTTCTGGATCAAGTTGGCGCAGGAAGCTGTGCGTGGTGATCGGCGGGCGGGCGAGTTTCACCTGCCTGACTACAGTTCGCCCCGGTCCAGCCGACAGCCTTCCATGGCACCTGCTGCCGCAGCTCCCACGAGAGATGAAGCAGATGAAAATTGGACGATGGCCACCGGCAGGAGGAACCGTTCGAAGGCGAGCGATTGTGCACCTCCACCTTGCAAACAACGTGTGGCAGGAGACATGCATGACATACAAGCACCTGGTGCTTCTTCACGGAGACCCAGATTTCAGCTAGGCCGTCCAGTAGATCCCAAGTTTGCTGGGGTTAGAGCGGATGAAGGGTTGAGAACATCCCAAGCGGATGAGCATGATGATGAGAGGTCGGCTGACAGGCCAGCGGCAATTGTCTCTGGCAGCAACGCTACAGCATCCGACGACCCTACTCACTCTGTCTCTACGAGATCACAGAGGGCATCTACGAGTGGTTCAAGCTGCCTTCGCCCTATGAAGGACGAGACTGCCCCGCGGTGCGTGTCCTCTGCTGACCCGTGGATGCCCGAAAGGGCTGAGGCGGCTCCCAGCTTAGTGACCCCGTGCGGTGGAGTCGCTGGAGGGTCGATGGCGCCGCGTTCTGCGTCTTCGGCCTGTGCTGTGTCTGCCCCTGGTAGAGGGCCTACGGGTACTACTTCGGCGACCGCGGCTACTGCGTCAGCCTCGATGCCACGGGAGGATCCAAGGAATCCTGGCAGAACGCAACCCAGGAAGCGGCGAGAACCAGCGAGTCAGAATCCCATTGATAGATTGGCTCGTTCGCTGGTGGACACAGACTGCTTCTTGCTTAAGATAGTGGGGCAGCAGAACCACATGATGAATCACCTGGATGAGGAGACTCAGAACTTCTTCCTGGATGGCATCGCCTTGCTCGGAAGGGACGACTTCGAGCAGCAGGTCTACCGAATCGTCGAGCACGCAGATGAACTCCACCAGGTACATAAGAAGAAGGTGGAGGCTAGCTGGAAGTCTTGGATCGACACGGCGTTCAAGAATGGAGCGGGCCCTGCGCATCGTACTTCCAAGGTCAAGGCGCTTGAGGCAGCAGTGGCGCACACCGACAGAATGCAGCCGTACCAGATGGCTGACAGGGAGATGGAAGTCTGGCATGAGGTATGGTCTTGTCACAGTCAGGGTGAGCCAGTACTGCCTAGTGACGCGCATGCATGGGATAACCTCCCTCCCCTTCGGCCTGAAGACCTGTCCAAGGCGGCCCTCACGTTCAAGTGGACGACGGCCACTGGGCCGACGAGGCTGCATCCTCGGGCCTTCTACTTCCTCTCTGACGCTGGCCTGTTGGCGCTCTGCACACTGCACCACACATGCGAGCGGATGTTGTACTGGCCGACCCAGAGAGTAGTCAATGAGATGGTTAGGCTTGCCAAGCCTGGTGGAGGCACTCGGCTGATCACTCTAGTAGAGAGCTTGGTACGTCTGTGGGCGCGTGCAAGGCGCCCGATTTCCAGAACATGGATTGTCCAGCATGGGAGTCCGTTCATTTGGGGCAATAGGCGGGGACACTCTTCCAGTTTCTCTGCATTTGCACACAACCTGGAGGCGGAGATTGCTGCATCACTGGGGGAGAGTTCTGTTACTGTTTTCCTGGACATGTGGAAATGTTTCGAGACGGTGTTGTTCCCTGCATTGGTTGATGAAGCCAGGAGCCTGGGGTTTCCGTTACGTTTGGTATGGATGCCAATCAATTCTTATTCCCAGCCAAGGGTAATAAAGGCTTTTGGATGTTGGAGCAAGCAGGTGGTGGTGTACCAGGGCATCCTCGCGGGCTGCACCCACGCCACCACCCTCCTCACCATCCTCACCTACAGGGCCCTCATGAAGGTGCACCAGATAGCCCCCAACGTGACCCCGAGAGCGCTTGTGGATGACAGCACGTTCCAATGGGTTGGGCCTTCGGGGACTTCTTCGGCTGAGTTGTTCTTGGGGATCCAGAGCTTTGTCAAGGATTCGGCCAAGTTGGGGCTCCTGCTGCAGGTCAAGAAATCGGGCTGGGTCTCCAACACTAGGAAGGGGCACCATGGGTTCCGCAAGATGGCCTCCAGGATCAACCTCAAAGGTAAGAAGTGGGTCCGAAATCTGGGGCATGAACTTAGTGGGCCTGTGCCGGTGAGAAAACAAGCTAAGGCTAGGATGAAGGGCTTGCAGGACAGGCTCCCAAGGCTAATTATGCTCCAGAAAGCGGCTGGCAACAGAGTCACCGCGATCTGGAGAACAGGACTCCTTCCTGCTGCTGCGCATGGCGCTACTGTCTCAGGAGCCAGCGACCAAGAGCTTGCTCGTTTACGCTCTGTTGCTGGCATGTTATGTGGCCGATCGACGGCAGCTGCTTCTCTCACTGTATATCTGGCTACGCAGGCTGACGCCAAGTACGACCCAACATACAATGCCACCTTGGACCCCCTGAAGGCCGACTGCAGCTTCGTTTGGGACAACAGAGTTTGTCTTGGGAGACTACAGAGGGCTTGGATGAAGGTCGCTGAGGGGCTCAAGAAGAAGGCTACTTGGACCTCTGCAAGGGGTCCCATTGCCGTAGTCTGGATGTCTTTGAGGAGAACAGGATGGGGCATGTATTCCGCCACGGGTATCTACAGCGACCTAGGTCACACGTTCGACCTCCTTCAGCTCTGTCCCAAAGATGTGCTGGAGTTGGTCAGGCAAGGCATCGAGCGCTGGCAAGGCATGCGCATCCTTACACATCACAAGGATGTATGCTTTGGGGATGAGGTTATCTGGATGAGAGCAATGAGAAGATGTGTTGGAGCTAAGAAGGCAGTGGTTTCGAACCCACGCTATGCAGGCGCGCTTCGAGCACTTTGGTATGACTCTATATGGGCACGGTCCAGACTGGCTGCCAAAGGGTACCAGATTTCCCCTGCTTGCATCTACTGCGCAGCGGAGCAATCGACTATTGGACATGAGTTCTTTTGCTGTCCTAGCTTTTATGATGACCTGCCTGAGGATCCCGATCTCGACTGGAATACTAACATGCAGTACACATATGATACGCTAAGGGAGCTCGGACAAAAGGCCCCTGGGGAGCCCGACTGGGACTGCTTCGCCACGGCGGTAGGCATAGCTGTGAGCCCTCTCATCCCACCATATGTGGAGTCCAACTTGCAGTACGTCTGTTGGGGGGACTGGGAGTCGGACAGGAGTTCCTGGAGTTCACTGGTTTTCTCAGATGGTTCGGGGCTGGCCCCAGCGTGGCCTGAGATACGTCGATGTGGGTGGTCGTTCGTCGTCATGGGGGACAACGGGATGCCTATTCGAGCTGCATATGGACCTCTTGCGGGTCCGATCCAGACTGTTGGGAGATCGGAGCGGACGGCGTTCCTCATGGCACTCAGGCTTTTTACCAGCTGTGGACCTACTGGTGACAGATCTCCAGAGCCTTGCAGCTGAAGTGGATTCCTGGCACCACGACCAGGAATATGCGAATTCGACATACGCGGACATCTGGAGGCACATCTTTCATGCTGCCGACGACAAGCGTCGGCCCAAAGCTTGCTGGATGCCCGCGCACATCACGATCGAGAGTTACCTGGAAGAACACTCGGCCACCCTCCCATTCGAATTTCTGCTCGGTAACATGTGGGCGGACTATTTCGCTAGAGAGGGGGCCAACATGCATGCGGTACACATATCGACGGTCAAAATGTTCGAAGCCAGGCTGAGTCAAGAGAAGTTGATTTCTAAGTTCTTCTCCTGGGCGGCAGCCAAGCTCATCACCAGGGACTCCACTAGCAGTACACCCGACAGGCTCCAGTTAGGCGGCCCCCCCATTCCTGTCCAGCAAGTAGGATTGCAAATGCACGATGTGGTGGTCCGTAGCCCAGGGGTCTGGCAGTGCAAGCTCTGTTTGGCCCTGGCTAGGACCCCAGCCAGTTTGATGAAACTCGTCGCGGGGACCAGTAATTATGCTAAATGCGAGCCCACGGAGCAACAGAAGCTTCAGGCCCGCAATGACATTGCATTGCAGCGTGCACGGCCCTACAGGAGCGAGGCGGTCGGCGTTGCGTTAGGATTGGCGCAGGAGCTCAGCCTGCCCGATGACCCTGGGGTTCCTGGCCTGTCGGGGGCTCAGCCGCCTGCCTCCGAAGATATTGTCGAGCTTGATGGGCACCGAATTCTCTCGAATTTAGGAGCTATGGTATGCACGTTGTGTGGGTCGTACCAGCTTAATGCTGGGCGCGCGGGGCATTCGAAGCTTGGAGGTAGCTGCCTGGGCCCTTCTCAGCACCCCCCACACTATATAAGCAGAGGCATGCTATTAGGGCCATCAAGGCGGGTAAGAACCCCAAGAATGGCCAGCAACTCAAACTTGTTTGATGATTTTCCCTGGCCCGCTCTGTTTTCCGTCTCCTTTTCCCCTGGGAATCCACGGTAAACGAGCTGGGCCCAAATGATTGGCCCATGCTCCCGTCTTTGGTTGCATGACAGGTCATCCGAGGCGTCCCCCTCCTCCTCCTCCTCCTCCTCCTCCTCCTCCTCCTCCTCCTCCTCCTCCTCCTCCTCCTCCTCCTCCTCCTCCCTTCTCACCCTCATCCTCCCCCCCCCCAGCTGCTGGCTTCCGGGATGCACCCCGGGTGCTGGGCGCCGCGGCCGCGGGGCGCCGCCCGGGCCAGGCCGGCGAGGGCGCAGGCCGCCGCGGCGGAGCCGAAAGCGGAGCCGAAGGCGGCCTCCAGAGCTGCCAAGGAGAGGGGGCGCGCCGCAGCGGAGAGGGAGTCCGTCGTGATGCCGGGAGAGGCCCGTGCACCGGAGAAGGGGACGCACTCCCCTGAAAGTGAACCCTCTCTTCATCCTCCTTTCCCCCCTCCCCCCCCCCCCTCGCATCCTCCATCCTCGCCGTCCTCGTCCTCCTCCTCCTCCTCTCCTCCTCCTCCTCCTCCCTCCTCCTCCTCCTCCTCCTCCTCCTCCTCCTCCTCCTCCTTTTCCTCCTCCTCCTTCTCCTCTT